GTTTTGACTAAAGCAAGTGCGCACTTCATGACTAAGAGACAAAATACTGGTGCGAAAATTTGATCAGGATTACATATCAATCGTCCAAAAGCGATGTTTGCTATGCGATGCGGATGGCGTGTGATCCACTGATCTTAGACTGTAAAAAGTATTTACAGTAGTCAAAATAACATTGTGCAGTTCATTCAGTCCCGCTGGCTCAAGAGAACTTGTACACTCGTTCACAGGTAACTCCGTTCAAACTTTCATTATCAGCACATGCCAAAAAGGAGAAACCATGGACTCCAGTCGAAAATATGTTCCCCCTGATAGTGCGTTCTGTTAACCGTCCCGATATCACAAATACGAACATTCAACGAAGCTTCCAACCGACCATTCGTAATCGCATGCTGGGCGCAGCTGGGCTGTCACCTCTAAGCAGGCCTGTGACTTGACCCTAAGGTGATCGTTTTGCTAGATTTACTGTGATCAGTCATTTCGCAGGCGTTCCTATTTCAGGACACAGAGTACGCTTACCAAGTGTTGGTGTGGTCCACTGTCATCAGACGAACTATTATTCATTTTGGCATTTGTGTTGTGATTGATGCTCGGATAGAGTTGACTGACTCGTGATATTTCTTGTCAGGCATTACCTGATAATTAAGTGTCCCATGAATTGGCTGATTTATCTAGTTTGAAAATTGCGATTTTCGATCACATTTGGAACATTTGTTGCTGACTGGTGTCAAATAGTCTTTTGTAAATAGTTTGGTTATCTCGATTCTTTAGCTCATTTCTTTGCACTCAGTCCCTTTTCGCACTTGGACAAACTCTCAAGGTGGATTAGGGATCAGATCTTGAAAGAAATTCCGTACAGATTATATGAATGAATGAGCGTATAATATCTGAAGTATATGCCAGCGAGTGATAGCTCACCAGCCATTAATTGTGTGTTTTAGTCAGCGAGTAACTATAAGTGGTGAGAGTGAAAAATAGATCGAAAATACGCTTACAGATTTCGTATTTCAAGTTAAGTCAATTGAACCGAAGAGCCAAAAAGTACTATAAAACTGCAAATAAAGCCTATGTATGCTGAAGAGCCGAGAAGCAGTTTATTAGGCTGGAACATTTGAATAAATTTCCAACTCTTATTATGTAAAAAAGCATTGCTGTACCAGTAGTTCTGGTAGGTCAGTTTTTATGTCTAACCTCCAGTGAGGACAACGTAACCCATTTGGTATCCGTATGACAGCGGATGATGCACAGACCTCAACAAATGATGTTCAAACTTTCATTATCAGCACATGCGAAAAAGGAGAAACCATGGACTCCAGTCGAAAATATGTTCCTCCTGATAGTGCGTTCTGTTAACCGTCCCGATATCACAAAAACGAACATTCAACGAAGCTTCCAACCGACCATTCGTAATCGCATGTTGGGCGCAGCTGGGCTGTCACCTCTAAGCAGGCCTGTGACTTGACCCTAAGGTGATCGTTTTGCTAGATTTACTGTGATCAGTCATTTCGCAGGCGTTCCTATTTCAGGACACAGAGTACGCTTACCAATTTTTGGTGTGGTCCACTGTCATCAGGCGAACCATTTTTCATTTTGGCATTTGTGTTGTGATTGATGCTCGGATAGAGTTGACTGACTCGTGATATTTCTTGTCAGGCATTACCTGATAATTAAGTGTCCCATGAATTGGCTGATTTATCTAGTTTGAAAATTGCGATTTTCGATCACATTTGGAACATTTGTTGCTGACTGGTGTCAAATAGTCTTTTGTAAATAGTTTGGTTATCTCGATTCTTTAGCTCATTTCTTTGCACTCAGTCCCTTTTCGCACTTGGACAAACTCTCAAGGTGGATTAGGGATCAGATCTTGAAAGAAATTCCGTACAGATTATATGAATGAATGAGCGTATAATATCTGAAGTATATGCCAGCGAGTGATAGCTCACCAGCCATTAATTGTGTGTTTTAGTCAGCGAGTAACTATAAGTGGTGAGAGTGAAAAATAGATCGAAAATACGCTTACAGATTTCGTATTTCAAGTTAAGTCAATTGAACCGAAGAGCCAAAAAGTACTATAAAACTGCAAATAAAGCCTATGTATGCTGAAGAGCCGAGAAGCAGTTTATTAGGCTGAAACATTTGAATAAATTTCCAACTCTTATTATGTAAAAAAGCATTGCTGTACCAGTAGTTCTGGTAGGTCAGTTTTTATGTCTAACCTCCAGTGAGGACAACGTAACCCATTTGGTATCCGTATGACAGCGGATGATGCACAGACCTCAACAAATGATGCGATTATTCTCAAGTCGAAATAATCAGTAAAAAATAATGGGAAAGTCAAAAGTAACTACATGCAGCAATCGCAAGAGATTTGTTTTAAACCGCGGATTTTGTTTGTTTTTGGGGGCGGATTTTACCGCAAATTTCCATTTCATGGATGATCATATATAGTCAAAATAATTTTGGGTGTTTCTGTTATGCTTAATTCAACCCCGACCACTGTATAACGCACTGCGGATCGTGACTGCTGTTGATAAATGTGTGCGTAGAGGTTAACTGTGTGGCCTCGAGTTGAACGCCCGTTGTTTGTTTTATCTTAAAAACTGTGAAGAGGACGGGACTAGTGAGGCAATGTTGGTGGGAAGGAAGAAGGAAAATACATTCACTTGCATGGACTTGAGTTTTGGAACATGTGGCTCCTTTAGTTAATGAATATCACACTGCCTGAAATTCGAAAGCCTTATATACTAGCTAAAGTAGCAAAACCTCCCAGTTTTTTTGTATTTCATTGGGTTCTTTAGGGAAATCATCTAGCCCCGATCAGAACTCTTCTGGTTACTTCCTTACAGAGGTCTCTCTTTGGAGGACGACCTCCTCTAGCCTAACAGAAATGGTAGTCAGTATTCTTAAAAAACGGAAAAAGCTATAAAACAACCTTTCTTACAAATTCATGTTCAGTGAAAGTTACCACATGTTGAAACCTGTTGTAACCTTTTGAACCATCGCCTGTTCAATACAGTCTATACGAGTGGTTGACATTTTGCGAGTAGAAAACGAATCGTGAGGGTTGAGAAAAATTAAGTACCTACAGTAGGCAGTTGGTTGCTCGTCCCAAGTTGGTGGGTGCGGTACGCCAACACAGTCAATGGATGCAGTGACTAAAGTGCTTTGGGGAAAATTTGAGTTGTTTACTAGGACAACAAGGAGATAAGCAACCATTGAGGAGAAAAAGCTTGACAGAATGGGCAATGTTTCACATACGCTTTGATATTCTTGATCACGCCCAACGATACAATACCATAAAATCAAAGTCTGGTCAAGCTATCTAGGTTGTATCAAAAATTACAGAAAACAATCTCGGGTTTCCTCTACTTTTTCGTCGACTTCCTGTCAAGATATGCAAAAATTAGCAGTATGATGGATCAAAGGAGCTACCGACAGCTCGAGGTGGTTGGGTGACATAATCTGTTTTTCACACATTTGAAGAACTGTGAAAAACGGTATCAAGGGATCGCTCCATGTTTTGGTGAAAAATAACATTTTACGGTGCCGTAACTTTGTTTCGTATTGTATGATGTGTAACATGGATGCAGCATGTGACGCACCAGTTTGTAGTTTGCGTTTCTCCCCTGCTTGGAACGGTTCCCGTTCCCCTGGGAAGAGATATTCCGTAAACGTAAAACAACGGTGCTTTTGAAAATGAAACCTATAGCTGCACACGGGATGATTGAATTGCTTAAAGATGCGCTTTTTCGTGAAACTGAGTTCAAGGAGCTGATTTGTGCGCGCCAACAGCCCCTTCGTTCATGCTACGATATAGACGTTTATCTCACGTGTGCAAGCAAACGTTTATAAGACCCTCAATGTTGAAGTGACACGCTGTTATGGTCACATCAAATGATCGGAGAGGTTCAGTAAGTGTATCGGTTTCGCCCTCTAAGTGTTTTCATTGTGAACAAATAGTTTACACAGACCAAGGTCTCGCCTTCTTAAAATTTGCTTCCAAAAGTTCTTATGCCCAAGAACGTAACCTTTACAAAATTCGGCCTAGTTAATCCATTTTTTCTTTTCTTAACTGAACAATTTCCAGCCTTAAGATGAACCCGGTTACAGGTTTTCATTTCTCATATTTTTGGGAATATGTCTGTGTGTCGCATCACTGTAAATCACATTATCTCTGCAGTGGAAAAAGACACGCTTCAGATGTAGCTGGAAACCAGGTGTGCAAAGTGCACCGAATGGACATTCAGGATTCATGAAAAAATATTTTCTCGCCTACGTCAAAAATTAACCTTCAACATTCTGCTCATCTTCTAATTCGCAGATCTTAACAATTAAACTGCGGTTCTCTGTGAAAGAAAGTTTGGGAAATCGCTCAGAGGTGCTCATATGTGGCCGATGGTCGGGGGTAATATGATCCACTAGAAATTGTCCCTGAAATTTGTTGACTGAAATAGAAATGGGGGCATGGGGACGCTTGCACCTATGGATGGCGCTGCGGATGAATGGAATACCAGAGCTAAATGAAAGATAATTTTGAGAAACCACTGATTAAACAGTAAGACGGGTGAGCTTATATTTTCCAAGAGTTTCTCATATTGATTGAGTCTCTAAGCAATGAGGACGGTAGAAAGTACATTACTCGAGAGCAGCGAAATGAACTATGAGTAAAAATGCTGAATTTGTCCACATTGCGTTTGTGAACCATTACAGCCTGATGGAGGTAATATTGAAGGTTTCTCCCCTATCAGAAACTCAAATTAGTTCAAACCAAAATGGCTAACTTCCACCCTGAGAGGTTACCACGGTAAATTATTCTTTCACTGGCCCATATAAACTGCCTGGCCACCACTTCAAGTAGTTCATGTCGCTACACAAATGCACTACATTAATGAACTGCTCTGATGTGACTCGACGATGAATTGGCCTTTGATGAGCATACAATACGAATCATTAGCACTGTTTCATCTTGGGGAACACCTGAAGGTCAGGGTTAGGTGACATACGGTGACCAACTGGTCCCCTGCTTCCTCCTGATCAGTATCGTCATATCGCCGTTGTTGTATGAAACTAAATCCTGTTACTGAACCACCACTACTGATCGGTCCATCGGCAGGGTCCTCCTAAAGGAAAGATTGTGCAGATAACTAGTTTATGCGTGCTTGAACGGTTCAGTAATTTCTTGACTTAAATTTAGAAATCCACAATGGTCGTTAACTCATTACTCCAAATAGGATGTAGAAGCTTGTTTCATTGAGATCCTGCCAACCGCTTCCAAACGAAAGGTCTGCCAGACAAGCTTCCTTCTTTTGTTAATTTCACACTCACTGCACAATAGCTGTCTGTCTCCCTACCATACGGTTGGATATCAGCTGGAAGTAGTATTGTGTGATCGTATAAACGGTGCATAATAATAATAATGATAATAAGCTACACTTAAGTGCTGGCTATCTAGAAGCTTTGTTGTCGAGATAACAATATTGCTTTTATATTGCTGGTTAACCTACTGGTTTGTTCTGGTAATACTTCAGATCAGATTGCTGACTGCCGGAGAAGCTAGCTTCGTTGTTGATGGGTAGTTAATGAAATGCAATGCAATTTGTTCACTTCGACAGTAATGATGTTCGAACTATAATGCATAAATTCATGGTAGGTTCCCACTTTGTTTGTACTGATAGGCCGACGAATAGTAGGAGAATGTGATAAACGGTAGATTCAGCTCGATTCAGATTACTCATCCCATCGAAACCAAATCGATGTGCAACTGAGTGTATTTTTCTAATTGGATTGAAGTATAACATAAGATTGCTGAAAAATCGTAGACAGAATCTACTGAATGAGTCCAAAGATGGATATAACTGGTTGTGGGCTTTTGAAAGTTACTCCACAGACATTTAGCAGCCTATTCCATCAGGAAAAATGTGATTTCTGTTAGTTCGATATCTGTAGTGTTGAATGCCTCTCACCTCGTTGTTTCACGTTGCGGAATCGTTGGAGGCTACCTGATATAACTTCGATTTTCTGGAGAACGATGGATGCTGCGTGTGATATGTCTTAAGCGAAAAGTCTCTAGTTTGAGGACAGCTATCCCCCTGGAGAGGATAAGCCCAACAGAAAACACTGGAATAGAGAAGCCACTAAACAGGCGCAGCATGTACTGGTTATACTTCTTTTGAATGCTATATTTCTTTTGGTCTCCTAAAATGTTTTCTTCAAGGGTAACCGTTTACATTCATCCTCGTGTTTACTAGGGCGACGCTGACACGTACGCTTTACGTTCCATCTGTAACTGAGTAATTTAGGAACATATATCTGATGCGATGCAAAACTCAACTGGTAAATTCAGAAGATTTGTTTGCACAGAACGTCCATCTTCCACTACATGCTGTCAGCATTCTATGAATTTAAAACCTATGATGAACACTTTCTGCCCATTTGCTCCAGTCTATAACCCTTTCTCTAATGACCCCCGACCAGCAATATGCCGATCAGGGGTTTTTATTTTAAATATTGAAAGCAACCTTGGTTAGTACAAAAATTCATAATAGCCCAATCCTGAGTACAGTAAAGCGGAAAACGTGCGAGCGGAACACGGTTTTATAAAGTTTTATAGGGTTATAAAAGTCATAAAATTTATAAAGTTATACAGTTTTCAATGCCATATTTGGTTGTGGACTACACCGAATAGCTCTCGGATGCGTTTTTCAGCTTTTCTCAGATCTATACAGCTGAAATATTTAAACAGCACGACTAGGTTACAAAGTTAATATATGGAGCAAGAATTACCGTGGTTTTTCATCTAGGGCATAATCTGAGATATTTGGGCAATTTGAGAAAGAAGGAGAGAATGATAACTTAACGGAGACTATCTCTGATATACATTCAACTGGCTCGATGGATATAATTCCCTGTCATCCCATATAAATGTGGAAGTATTCTAACTCTACGAAAAATACGTATAAATGACGTACACTGATGCTTTTTTGCCAAATCCAGATCCGTTCATCCGTGAAGCCTAATGGATAAATCATATTTACTCAGTAGTCTTCAACCGTTAATGGGGATCATACCGAATAAAATAGAAGAGACCACATTATTCCTTCGCTAGAGCGTTGGCAGCATAGAAAGTACTTGTACAAAAAGCATAGTGCTAGAAAATCAAGTGTCGTGATCTTGGACAACTTGCCCATGTTCCAGTTACCAGCTATCAAAAGAATGTCCGTATACTACCGTTACATCTAACCACAAGTCATGAATAGTTTTACGCATAACCTATTCCAAATGTATGCAAATTTATGTTCACTGTTTTCAGTAAAATCAGAGGACACAGCGCGTTCTCATGTTGTCCGTTCCGAAGCGCACTGTCGAAGCAATCCGGAACCTGGCACCAGTTTTCGTCCCTGACCGACCCAACAGATATGACATCGTGGAGCCGATTCGTATCTGGTTAAAACGCCTTAAAATATGACTAGCAATTGCGATTGTTTAGAATAATTTTGCAGGTCATCATGTTTGCTGTTGCTTTTATTCATTCTGATTAACTTAGGCAACATATTAAAACATCTATAAGTACTTCAGAATATATTTGTATTTCATGGAGCAAAATCAAGTTGATGCAAAAAATTAAACAATAACCGCTCGTTTCGATTCTGTGGTATTATTTTCACAAGAAAACCGGTCAAAACAGGACTCCCAAGTACTGACAATGTAATAAAGGCCTCGTAACGTTTATTGCAGCACTGCAGTACTCATTATTGCCTCCTGCTTAAGCATGAGGAGAGCCTGCGAGCTAATTGCAGTGGTGATGAGCCGCTCACGGTCGAACGGCTCAGTGTTCAGTCTACTAGCCAGGAGGTTGGGGGATCCAAACTTCCTTGAGTTACGTGACCAGCGCTCTGCTGATGACTCCCAGCGATGACGAAACAAGTGTGTAATGCACCTTGGCTTTACAGCATGGATAGACTTTACTTACAGAATGAAATCTTTTGCTGATTTTACAATGCTACGGTTTAAACTAATTATCTTTGGATTATTCTTTAGATTTTGCTGTGTTAAGGATGACAGAGTATTACGACACTGACACAACACTGTTTCCATAGTCCTGATCCGTATACGTAACATGCGTCAATCCATAAAATTAGGAAATACTTGCACTGTTGAGATTGTTTTACTATGTCTAAAAGTTATTCGGGCAATGGGGATTGTACGTATTGTGTTTTTAGTAGTTAAACCTACTGGATTTGGGCAGTTTCTACGTGCCTAGTCCACTGTAGAAGGCAAACAATTGAAAGGTTCACCTTGGTTTGCTGTATCTGATTTTTTTCCCGACCACTTCAATAAGTCAGTATAGGCAACATAAGTAAATTTATTTCCGAAACTATATTAAGCTCATTCCCAGTTCATCTAGCCACCACCCATTCTCACGTACTACCCATTTACGCACATCGATAAGACAAGTATCCCTTTGGTGTTTAAGAGATTTTGGACATTCTGCCTGCAGACATCACAAACATGTATTTACAACGCACAAGTATCCCTTTGGTGTTTAAGAGATTTTGGACATTCTGCCTGCAGACATCACAAACATGTACTTTACAACGCAAGGTACACCTGTTTTATCCTTTCCTGGCATACTTAATTTAAAAAAACCCACAAACTTCGAACCCACGATACTCCTTTCAAAGTTCACATTGCCGATCATTCCCAACACGGATAAAAAATTGTGCAGGGTTTCTCGGATTATCAGCGTGAACAAATTTTATTTGCAGAGTGGGCGTTTAATAAGTAGATCTTTTCTTCCACCAACGTATAATGCACTAACTACCTATTCCAACCGGTAGGCTTGGAATCTAAAATTTGCCACACCCTTTCAGAAAGGCATGTGATTGGCAGAAGCGTTCACTCCCAACGTGTTAGGGCACAAAATATCCACCTACCGCATTAGTCCGAACAACCATCCTCTTCCTCAAACATGACGTCATTAGTGAACGTACAGCAAAAAGAACACTGTATGCCTCTAGAATTCTTGGCACCTTCTAAAAGTACCATCCAAGGCGCATTGTTATCATGTACACCTTCCTTGGAAGACGTCTGTTACGAAGTAGACAACTTTGGTAGCTATGTGCTTTACAAAGGAAAATCATGGTGAGTACTTCTAGCAATCCTGAAAATCAACATGTGATTTGGTGCTGGAGAAACCTCAACCCGATTTTTAATGCTGTTCTTCGGAAATTGAATTGGTGTCTTATGGGCATTTAAAGCATCTTCCGGTGAGTTCTTCTGACAGCTATCATTTCGAGTAGAAAAGTCATGGGGTTGCGTTGATTTTGTTCGGTGATCTCTGTTTCAAGTTCGACTCACAAGTAGGTGTGTTTTCCTTAAATTAAAAATCAACGCTACTTGTATCAGTCGGCTCATGGTCGAAATCAGGAGCATCAGGTAAAGAATGAGAGTCGGCACTTCAATTTAGCTTACACTACAATGTAGCCTTGTACTTGTCCAAAAGCGGAACTCTATTTGGTCGGTATACGCGAGAAAACCACCCCTGGAACTGAACACTGACCACTGGAAACCTATGAATGCATGTTTGCGCTGCGTGCTGCCTCATAAATAATAAGCAGCAGATACTGTGGTTGATTTTGAGACGTCGCCTGATATACCCAGAATGCCGGAAGTTCTGTGGGACAACTTATACTGCTGGTTCATGTGAGATTTGTCTCAAGCCAAAGCGCTCGCAATATTCCGAACCAAGTTTCGGCCATACTTTGGGAGATCTAGAATGCCCTTCATGAAAAGTTGCAATAGTATCGTTTTATAGAGGCACATCACCATCATATTCACAGAAAAGGCTCTAAATACAGTCCTCAAAGTCTCTACCGGATTCTCTAATTGCTTTCAGGACTGTCGTCCCATATGACTGCTCATCCATGCTTGTCCAAAACAGTTATTGCTTTGCTTGAGTTCTATTAGCTGGTCGGATTATGTCAAACGGACCAGTTTCTTGAGCACTCAGATTTGATTGAGTGAAAGATGAGTGAATACAGATCCGGCATAAATGAGTTTCACTTTTGGTTCTTCGGGAAACGCATCATCCAGGAAGCCCCCAGGAGACCAACGTATATTTATCAAACGTTTATCCGATGTTTCAAAGTCCACTTGTCGCAGTAAGACAACTCCTAATGTATAGGTTTCTGTCGTTAAAGCGTGCAGATAAACGCGAAACCCAGTGGTAAATACTTTGATCTAACAGGGTATAGGAAACGTAATCACAGAACTTACCGTTTTATGAAAATATCTCGCTGAAATATCCTAAGCGCAGGACGTTATTGTTAATGCATCTCGACAACTCGAAATAAGTATACCATTTTTTCAGAAGAAAGTTCAGCATAAATTTCCCGAAAGTTAAATTTCTTATCTTGTGCCCCCTAATGTGAACAATATCCTCTCAGATGGATATCAACTCAGGCACAAAATATACATCTGAAATCGTACCTTTAAAACAGGATTCAGTCACCTGAAACTACCCATTAATTAGCACAGAAAGGATATTTTGTCTAACATGCAAGAAATCTTCCCTAGTCATCCTAGTGCTGAGCAGTTTTTCTTAAGATTTTGTCAGTTAAAATGCCGTTTGGCAAGCAGAGTAGGTGTTAAAATACTTTTTGGAAATTTGGTCATCAATTCAAATTTCTCGGAGCGGTGAGAGACAAAAGAATTGAAGAACTAGGGATTCTTATTTGGTGTTGCAAACTGTAATGTTAGGAAGCTTCAGTATTTATCAAGATTCTCCAGCATGGTATTGTTGTTTAGTTGTTTGCTGGTTATCTATAAGCGTCCCCTGATTTTCATGAAATGGGGGGAATGTTCACTAGAACGAAAGCCTCTAACTACCTCCTTGGCTTGCGCAGCAGTAAGTCCACACCTTGGTAGTTGAGAATGCAACGATAAACACAAAAGCTGTTATGGAATATGAATATGCAGGATACAGGATGTACCCACTCTTCTACTGTCAATTACTTGAAAATTGAAGAGTTATTCAAAATCTAAATACGACCTAGTTCTGGACGTGCAATTCTTTGTTGAGATTACATTTTACCATTCCTTTTTCTCTTTTAAAGTAGTTTTTATTGATTAAATCAGTTTTGAAGTTCGAATGAGTAGGGTATGGAGATTAGTTCAGATATGCAAGCTGTAGTTTGTGAGCTGATGGAAAGGAAAAAAAGGGAAATATGTTTACTCTCGAGTGAAACTATCTGGACAGATAAGCCATTTACGCTTTACCAGTGGTCAAACACATGACGCTAAAACACTACTTACCTTCACAATAACCTTCACAACTTTTGAATCTAATAAAAGACCAACAACCGGTAACAGGTGATTGTTAAGTTGTTTAGTAAAACAGTAGATACACTCCAATCAGGCGAAGCAATGTCCAAAGTGACAAGATTGTGGCAAATCCGTTCGACGTTTCAGTCCGCAAGACTCGTCGAGACCCAGGGAAAGAAAATCAATGGTTAGTGGGGTGGCCCAGACCGATGAGTAGTTCCGTTCTGAAGATAAAAGTAGGATCACTTCATTGAACTCTCATCAAATACATCTTTATGACATTGTCGCTCTATCCATTAGACAGACCAAACTTTTATATTCTAAGGGATTTCAAATCTACGGTTTGGGTGCGGTGGTGTTCTGAAGAACCTACCCACAGGCGGTTTGGTCATTATTCGGCTTGGTAACGTAGAGTTTGATGTATTGTAGTAAATGTTCGAAACCATTTAGCAGATTGTCAGGAGGTAAAAGGTTCTAATTCCACATGGCAAGTCACCGTAATGACTGCGCTGGGCTGTTCGAATGCAACCGCACTTTTATCGTAACTAGTAAGTGACGTTCAGAACATATGGACTGTTTACCTACACATGTCCGTATCAAAGGGCGCTCCAAACGCTCATTATTAGTTATTGAATGGTCCGACGGTTTGGTTGATTTCATCATTTGTAAAAAGCATATTGTGTGCTTAGACAGAGTTGCAAAGAGACATTTATGTGAATGTTTTACATGAGAGACAGAGTTGCAAAGAGACATTTATGTGAATGTGTTTACATGAGACATTAAAAAGGCCTACGAAATACTCTTAAATGCCACATGACGCACAATTTGCCTATTGTGTTTGGGCAGAGCGTCAATGCTGTTGCAGGAGCGACTTTCCTACTATTAAAGTGAGGGTGTTCAGTATGAAGACGTCTTTGAGTGTGCTGATGTATATTTTTGAAGGTGAAATGTTTTTCGAAAGATGTAGTATTTCTCATTGCTACCCGGCTCACGTGGTTTCGACCCAAGTGAACATTGCCTGAATAGTTATTGTATATACGTGTTAGATTTCGGATATAAGAACGTGGTTGGTTGTGGTAAGAAGGCAGGGGGTCATGAAAAATGTTGCGTATCAGATTTTGTAAATTGATGCATCACATGAGCTGGCTATACTGTTGGTTTGCAAGTAGGCCACCGCAAATTTTCATGAGAGTTATTTGACTGTCTACGTTGTTGCTATTCTCTCACGCTGAACAACGTACACTTCTAAAGAGTATTCTCTAGTATATACAATTGCGGCTTCCAGATATGCTACACAAGACCACCTGATCATATAACTGCCTCCAAACTGCCCGTTTCCGTTTCAGCTCATGTGCTGCTTCGCAAGACGACATTCACTGATCACAGCTTCGGACATATTCCTTTTCTTTGATGGTCTGACGCAGGGCCTTTGATGCACAAAGTGTGTCCTCAAATATAGGAGCTATGAATATCTCCATCGCTGATGTGAACCGTTCCACTAGGATCCAGTTCAATCCGCTGCATAGCTAATTGCAACACTGGTCGATTGATGTATTCAGTCCGACAAAATGGCTGTCAATGGGTGTCAATAATTAGCGTGGTAGTGATCAAAGAAGAGGTTGTTTTGATGGAATTCCAGCATGTCAGATTTACCGATGCACACATTTTATGTCTGAAAAGGCCAATAAATCACTCAACAAAAGGGGTTTCACTCACCTAGTGACCATCAATAAAATTAACAGATTTCAAGACGTGATTTTAAGATTTTAAGATGTGATAAATATGTGACTGGAACACATGGTCCTCATTACTGCAGTTGAACAGTGGAACCGGTCACGTTTCCACTCTGACAAAATTTCCTGATCCATGAATGTGGCCATAACTACAAGTTATCTTGCTTTACGTCTGCAGCTTTGTTGCTGATATGTTAGTCATTGCGACCAGATGGGTTGATCGAAATAGATTTTGAACCCTTCTTAGCGCGAATCAGACCAGGAAGTTCGAAATTAAATGATGTGCGATATGGCAGGCGTTCAAAAAGAAATCTAGTGCACAGCCACATAGCCGCTCAACGCTTCACACGACCACTAGGCACAATCATGGGGGCACCGGTGCTGGACCACGCAGTCACATATTTTGGCGAAAGTTTTCTCTTTCATAAAAGCAGCATTTCCAAGATTTCTGCGCCCTAAATGGTTAAACTGTATGTGAAAAGTCTTTCCATGATTCCTCGAATGACAGATAACTTATAAAGGAAAGGTTGCTGAAAACTCTTCGCAGCCCACGACCGGTTTCGCCCTTCTTGGAGCTCATCAGGTGGGCGCAGTCCACGAGTTTCCGTCAACCTTATGATCTACTTGAACCCAATTGCATTGTTCTCGAGAAATACACTCATTTGCAAATCACTTTGGTTTTCACGGGAG